GCATGCGCGGGGCGGCGCGATGCAAGGCAGGGCAGGGCAGGGCGCGCGCTGAAGGCGCAGCGCAGGGCAGGGCGTGGGGTAACGCGGTAACCGCAGTCGGTCACTAGGTAATGGTGGGCCTGAAAAAAAACGGTCATACGGACCTACTGCTTTGAAACCATGTCAGAAACTAACGAGCAGGAATGATTGTATTGACATCAAACTAAGTACAAGTACTAACCCTAATTGGGTTGTGCCTCATATAGGCTGCCCCACTACAGCCTACACAACATAAGCAACATTATAGTTTGACAGGGGGAAGGGGGAGGTGCGGAGGGGGGGGGGTGGTATTCGCTTCATGGTAAACCTCACTAAGAAGAACGGCAATTTTGGGGCAACAGTGTGTCTTAAACGTAAACCCTGGCATATCAAGAAAATCTAAGCTCCATAAAAAATTACCCTAAGGCATTAGTGTGAGTACCAAAAACCACCCTGATTATCAGTGTATCATGGTGATTTACACTGATAAAATTAGGCCTGCTTTCAACGATCATTAACAAGGTCATTACAAGACTTCATTGTCTTCTCACAACTTGCTAGACTTATACTGTCCACTACGATTTCTGGTTATATCAACAGCCAGTCCCTATTGTCACGGCTTTTTTATTCTTTATTTTGCTCAATTCTATTGAACAATTCATAACAGGACTTTTGCGGTAGAACAGAGGACCTTGTGGTAACAAGAGTAGTGTCAGCCACTTGTAACCTCTTTTCGGGAGCTGGAGTATTGAGTAGTCAAAAGTATGCGTCCCTTTGCCGAACACATCGCATAGACAGTGCTGTTTGGGACGGGAATTGCACACAGGTGCTGTTCGCCAGCAAATCGAAATTTTGAATGAAAAGGATGGCATCGGCATCGCGACCGCATCCGGAAACGGAACCTCCTAGGTTTGGGCGTAATGCCACTCGAGAAAGCTCTGCGCCCGGAAAGCGAAATTACGTAACCGCATAGGGCTTTGAACGGCAATGCAACGGCTGTGCCATCGCTGTCCTTTGAGGCCCTGTTTGGTAGCCTTCCAGTCACACTGGGCCCACTCGAACTGGGGAAGCCTACGAAATGTTTCATAGCCTCGGGCGTCCACTCACACTGAAAGGAAGTCTCGTTCCCAAATGGTTGAAGGTGTGGATGTAGGTACTTGGGGTGTTGTGGCTGTTGATTGCTGCTGCATTGGATGATGATGAGTGTCGGTGGTTGCCTCTGGAGTGGCGGCTGATGATGGGTTTGGTGGCGTAGTGGTGGGCTGATCCAATGGACGTTGAACTTGCGGAGTAGGTGTTGAAGTAGCTGGCTGGTTTGTGACGGATGGCTGCTGCTCTTTTGGTGGTGATGGAACGGTGACTTCCTGAGGTGGATGGTCTTCATTTGATGGCTGAACTTCATCTCCACTTGGTTGTGTAGCTGCTGGTGGCGCTGGTGTGGCACGGCTGGTCTCGTTAACGACGGCTTGAGGGAGATCGATGATGGGTCCGCTATGGTCAGAATCTGTGTCATCTTCTTCCTCCTCTTCTGTTATTTCTTCAGCTGCACTTACTGGTTCCTGTTGGATAGAGGGTAGAGAGGAGGAAGAGGAAAACTTATACCAACCTGCAAGGGACATGTCTTCATAGAAGACAACATCCCTTGAAACCACTTCTCGCTTGGTGACAGGATCCCAAAGGACCCATCCCTTGCTCTCATTACTCATGCCGATGAAGAGGCCCCAATGAGCTTTGCTGTCCAACTTGAGTCTCTTTGCATCTGGAACACGGTATTGGGCCATGGAACCAAAAACACGAAGCATAGACAGATCTGGTTTAACTCCAAACCAAGCCTCATATGGCGTTACACCATCCGGTAGGGGCCTTGTGGGTCTCCTGTTGCGAACATAAATTGTCATAGTGATTGCCTCACCCCACCAGAGCTTGTCAAGGCCCTTAAACTGAAGAAAAGTGGTAGCTATAGCTTGAATAGTGCAATGAAACCTCTCTGCCACTCCGTTTTGCTGAGGACTATAGGGACAAGTGAACTGTTGTTTGATGCCCAATGCCAACAACTCCCCCTGAAACGCTTTCCCCATGTACTCACCTCCTCGATCCGACCTCAAGGTGAGTAACTTCTTCCCTGACTCTCTCTCAACAAGTGCTAGCCATTGCTTGAAACACTTGTGCACTTCATCCTTGGTGTTGATGAAAAAGGACCACGAGAAACGACTCTTGTCATCAATGAAAGACACCAAATATTTCTTACTGTTTCCAGTAGGGTCTCGCATAGGGCCGAATACATCAATGTGGACCAACTCTAGGAGGTCCCTTGACTGAGACTTAGAAGGAAAAAATGGCTTTCTTGCTAGCTTACCTTCGACACAAGATGGGCATGGGACGGTAGAAAGAGACTTGACTGCACTTTCACTCAAATTAAGTCCTTCCACGCTCTTGTGACTTACTAACTCTTTGAATGCTTGCATCCCCAAGTGCCCCAAGCGTGCATGCCATACCTCAGCTTGGGAGATACTCCCTTTGTTGTTGACTTGATCGGTTGAAACAGCGGGAAGCGAAACAACGTCGTTCTTCGCGTTGCTAGAACCGCGCTTAATCTCCAACTTCATCTTGTAGAGACGCCCGGTACGCTCGCCTTCAGCCACCAAATTTCCTGCACTATCCCACAGTTTGGCTTTCCCCCCTTGCAAGAGAACGGAGGCACCTTTCTCTTCGAGTTGTCCGGCTGAGAGCAAGTTTGCTCCCAAATCAGGAACAAACTAAGCTTTATTGACACAGAAAGACTTACCATTCTTTTCAAACTCAAGCTTGCCGACTCCTTTGATAGGTACTTTGCCAAGATCAGCAAGTGTCACAGCTTTTGAGTCATACGAGGGCTGAAAATCTTTGAGAATGGACTGATAGGGAGTCATGGTTTCAGAACAACTACTATCAAGAATAAACTCCTCACTATTAGTAGAAAAAACGTGCATGCAAGAAGCAGTGTTGAAAAGGACAGGACCATCAGAATCTTTGGACTCATTTTGACTAGTACAATGACTTGCTATATTTGCTATGGCTGCCTTACCCTTTTCAGATAGTAGCTGAGGAGGGGGGACCCAATTAGGAGGCTTCTTAGGACAAGCATACCACGGATGACCCCACTCATGACAACAAAAACACTCAAAATTAAACTTTTTAGCATTCGAGGCTTGGCTGAAATTATTGACTCTTGGCGGATTAACTCTTGCATTCCCGAGCTGATATTGATTGGGAATAGAAGGCCTTGGCTGGACATAGGGACTGGACTTATAGGGAGGACTTGACTGAGCAAAACGAGAGGGTTTGTATGAGTTGGAAGGTGACTGGAAATTCGTACCATAGAATGGTTGAGGGCGGTTTGGGCTGAAATTTCCTTGCCTCTGGGATTGGTTGCCATATCTTGTAGTTGCTGCAGCACTCCACGCACCCTCGTCACTCCGCTTGTTCCGTGCAAGGTCTCGACTTTGCTGCTCGTTGACAAGGGCCTCAAAGATGAACGCACGACTCTTCATTGACTGCGGGAGCGCTTGTAGTGTTGCACGGAAAGTGTCCCACTCCGGTGTAAGGCCGGTGAGGATGACGGTCTTGAAAAGAGACTCTGGAATCTCCAAGCCGATCGCTGCTGCTTCCTCCAACATTGCTTCAGCTCGTTGTAGGTAGGCTTGTGCTGATTCATCTTCTTCCATCTTCAGATTCATGAAGCGGCTCCACATCTCGGCTTGGCTGCTCTCGGATTTTGACTAGTGCATAGTCTTCAGTCGGCTCCATGCTTCCTCTGCACTGTTTGCCTTGGTAGAACAGGGCAGGAGCGACTTCAACTGCTGCTCGTGAATGCTATTGAGTAGGTAGAGGAAAGCCTCATTGTTGCGTCGTTTGTAAAGTCGTTTTTCAGCTTCTGAAGCATCTGCTGCTGGTTTGGCTGCTTCTGCAGTGTAGTAAGGCCACAGATCCAGAAGGGATGCAGTGAGCTCAAACTGAGTTGCCCATGTTGGAAAATCTTTGCCGTTGAACTTGGGGAGGTGAAGCTTATGCATGAAGGAGGTGAGTGGTGAGTATGTTGTTGAAGGACTGCCTGGTGCAACTGCTTCCACTAATCCAGTAGCTGCTGATGTTGACTCTGAAGCTCCTCTGGCTGGCTGGAGTGCAGGACCAGATGGATTGTCTCCCGCCATGTTCGTATGGTGCTAGGATAGGAACGTGGTGGGCTAGGTTGATCGAAACGACGAGCTCTGATACCAACTTGTAAAACAGAGTAGCTCTGATGACTGGAAGGCTGGAAACTTGGCTGGAAAAGCTCAACAGAGCTGCTGGACTTGGCTTGATGAGAGAAAACTTACACTATGCTCAAGATTAACAAGCCCACTAAGGCACAACTTCTTAAGCATTACAATCATGCAGATTGATAGCTCAAACTAGGCTGCTAGACAAGGCAACTTCCTGGAGAACTTAGGCACAATTCAGATTTCATGAACCTTGAGTGACTTGAGAGCCACATGAGGTGCATGAATAAGAAAGCTCTGGAATTCTCTGTCATAGCTGATTTTGTTTGGTAAAAATCTGTAGAAACTGTTGACACTTCTTCTTGAAAACAATTCCGAACTGTATCGAGAATTCGGCTCCAATCTGATTGGTTGAGAAACTTTCTGATTTGTTTGCGAAGCCTTCAATCCGTCGCCGACATTCCCCCCTTGCTGCTCCTTGTGTGCAAAAGGGCTGGGGCAGCAGAAACTTGATTCTCCAACAAGATCACCTCCACGTCAGACAGCCGCGTTGGATGTACTGGGCAGCCCAGATGCATGCTCACCTCGTCGAGTGGGATACGAGCAGCGCATCATCAAGTGTGTTACATTGTGTTGCCCAATCCGCATCGACGACTCGTTCGTTCCGCACTAGCTTCTCCTAGTGCTCTGTCCGCCTTGTCGCCATCGGCCAGTATTGCCGCTTTGCCTCACCGACCCGCGCCCATGATCGCGGCGCCCATGATCGCGGCGTCCTTCTGGGCTCCACCCGTCACGCCGTCGCCCTTCTCCACGAAGTCCGACCACCACCCGCCGCACGCTCCCCGTGCCACGCTCTCCCAGTCTTGCGCCGCTCCTAGTGGCCTCTGCACCGCTGCCCCGCTGAAGCTGCCCGCCAGAACGTCCACGCGCAATGCGCGCGCAAGAGAGGAGAGCGGAGTCGTGGAGCACCCGAGAGATGAGTGCCGGAGGGAGGAGCAGCGCAAGGTGGGGGAGCTCGGACGGGGGGATCGCGGGCGAGAGGAGCGCGGGCGAGTGGAGCGTACAGGGAAAAAGCGAGGCGGAAATGGAGTGGCGAGCGGCGATGGGGAGACGAATGCGCGGAGCCGCAGGGAGCAGCGCAGGGCGAGGGAGCGCGCGCTGCTGACGGCGCTGATGGCGGCGAGGTTGGGCGGACAGGCGACGGCGAGGGAGCGCGCTGCCGCTGCTGCGCGGATGGTGACTCCCGCGCTGATGCGCGCCGTGCGGCAGAATCAATTTGCGGGGGAGGCGGCGGCATGGGCAAGCAGCGAGGGGGAGGTGGAAAGGATGGCGGAGGCGGCGGTAGAGGGCATGGGGGGCGCGCACGGCGAGCAACAGGGCGGGGGAGAGGGAGGCGGAGAGGGAGAGGGGGAGGGGGAAGGGGAGGGGGAGGGAGTGAGAGAGGGAGAGTGGGTGGGAGTGGAGGTGAATGTGCGGCACGTGACGGCTGCTGTGCAGGTGTGTGTGTGTGTGTGTGTGTGTGTGTGTGTGTGTGTGTGTGTGTGTGCTTGTGTGTGTGTGTGCTTGTGTGTGCGTGTGCATGTGCTTGTGTGCTTGAGTGTGTGTGGCATTGTGTGTGTATGTGTGTGTGTGTGTGTGTGAGTGAGTGAGTGTGTGTGTGTGTGTTTGTGTGTGTGTGCGGGGGTGTGTGTGTTTGTGTGTGTGTGTGGGGGTGTGTGTGTTTGTGTGTTTTTGTGTGTGTGTATGTGTGTGTGTGTGTGTTTGTGTGTGTGTGTGTGTGTGTGTTTGTGTGTGTGTGTGGGGGTGTGTGTGTTTGTGTTTGTGTGTTTTTGTGTGTGTGTGTGTGTGTGTGTGTGTGTGTGTGTGTGTGTGTGTGTGTGTGCACCTCATGAGGCGGCAGACTGGGCGGGCATGAGAGTGGTGGTTCAGGGCGTGAGGTGCTCTTCTCATCCCCCCATTCCTGCATCGCATACCCACCCACATGCCCCACATGCCCCACATGGTTCATGCATGGCACGCCCCCCCACACCCTAACCCCTGTCATGCATGGGTGCAGGTGTGTGTGGGCGCGGGTGACATGGCGCGGGCAGAGCACCTGGTGCGCCTGGCGCAGGCGGCGGGGGGAGCAGCGGCGCCCAACTGCCGGGTGCTCACAGTGATGGCGCGCGGCTACTGCCAGGCGGGGCAGCGCCGACAGGCCTATGCGCTGCTGCAGGTCAGCCAGGCCTATGCGCTGCTGCAGGTCAGCCAGGCCTATGCGCTGCTGCAGGTCAGCCAGGCCTATGCGCTGCTGCAGGTCAGCCAGGCCTATGCGCTGCTGCAGGTCAGCCAGGCCTATGCGCTGCTGCAGGTCAGCCAGGCCTATGCGCTGCTGCAGGTCAGCCAGGCCTATGCGCTGCTGCAGGTCAGCCAGGCCTATGCGCTGCTGCAGGTCAGCCAGGCCTATGCGCTGCTGCAGGTCAGCCATGGCCGCCACTGCTGCAGGTCAGCCATGGCCGCCACTGCTGCAGGTCAGCCATGGCCGCCGCTGTGCACGATGCAATGTGCCAGTATGTGTGTTGATAACCCAATGCCCCATGCCCTTCCGTCTCCCATGTCTTCCCCCTGCCCGTGCCTTTTACCCTCCCATACTCTCACGCCCCTCCAATGCCCCCCCCTCCCACAGCCCCACAGCCCGCCCTTCCCCCCTCCAATGCCCCCCCTCCTCCCCCGCGCTCCCCCTCACCGCGCTCCTCCCTGGGCAGGAGATGGAGCAGAGGGGGCCGGCACCGGACGCGGCGGTGTACCACGTGGTGATGGAGGGCGAGCGCCATGCGGAGGCCGTCACCGCGCTGCTGGCCGCCATGGCGCGCTGCCACGTGCCGCCCACCGAGAGGACCTTCAGGTGCCCACCGAGAGAACCTTCAGGTGCCCACCAAGAGAACCTTCAGGTGCCCACCGAGAGGACCTTCAGGTGCACCCCCCGTACTTACCCATGCCTTGCCTTGCCAGCATGCTCATGCCACGTGAATGAAGCCCCTCTCACGTGAATGAAGCCCCTCTCACGTGAATGAAGCCCCTCTCACGTGAATGAAGCCCCTCTCACGTGAATGAAGCCCCTCTCACGTGAATGAAGCCCCTCTCACGTGAATGAAGCCCCTCTCACGTGAATGAAGCCCCTCTCACGTGAATGAAGCCCCTCTCACGTGAATGAAGCCCCTCTCACGTGAATGAAGCCCCTCTCACGTGAATGAAGCCCCTCTCACGTGAATGAAGCCCCTCTCACGTCAATGAAGCCCCTCTCACGTGAATGAAGCCCCTCTCACGTCAATGAAGCCCCTCTCACGTCCTTCACTAACGCCCACCACCCACTCAACGCGCTCGCCTCCCCTCGGTGCCCCGTGCCGGGAAGCATATGCAGCGGTTCAACTCCAATGGCCTCACCTCACTCACCCCTCTTGCCTGCCTGCCCACCCTCACTTCATGCTCAACGAGCCGCGCCTCTCGTAATGCACTGCTTCGTCCTGGGTGAAGCGGCTGACCGATTTGCTCATGTCTTGTAAACACCATGCCCCCATCCCCTCCACCCACCCCCCCTCCCGGGCAGTGTGGCGATGGCGTGTATGGGCCGAGCGGGGGACGTGGCGGCAGCAGAGGCACTGTGGCGCCACATGACGGCCGCCCACATACCCCCCTCGCCCTTCGCCTTCTGTGCCCTCGCCCATGGTGCGTGCTGCATGCATGGTGCGTGCTGCATGCATGGTGCGTGCTGCGTGCGTGGTGGATTGAACTGAAAGTTTCTATTCTGGGCGGATTTCTTTTCCGGGCTTCTTGCTGGGCATGTTTGTGTTTGTCCTTCACTCCTCTCAGCATGAATCTCTGCCCCCACTGCCCTGTCCCAGCATGAATCCACCATACCTCGTTACCACCCACTGTCCACCATGCGTGGCAGTGTATGGGCAGGCTGGCATGGTGGAGAGGTGTGCGGGCGTGGTGCAGCAGATGGAGAGAAGCCTGGGGCACAAGGGCAGATGGCAGGCGCGCCGCACGGCGGGGAGGGCAGAGAGTGCTGCCCTCAGAGACTCGCCCAATTGGTCCCCCTTAGCTGGCGCCCAGGGGGCAGACAGGGGGGAGGGGGGAATGATGGGCGCAGGGGAGGAGATGGGGGAGGTGGGCGGCATGGCAGGAGGGGCGGAGAGTGGTGGGGATGATGGTGTTGGGAGGGGGAGTGGAGATGAGGGAATAAAGAGGCGAGGGCGAGGGAGAAGGTTGCATGCGGCAGGAGTGGAGGAGGAGAGGGACAGCGGGGGAGGGGGAGGGCAGTACAGCGAGCGGATGGCAACGGCCAGGGGAGGCACACAAGCAACTAACAGGACATTGCTGACGTCAGCACACAACATTCTGATTGGCGCCCATGCTAGACGTGGTGATGCCGAGGCGGCCGTGGCGGTGCTGCGAGGGATGCGACGCAGAGGTGAGTGGGTGCTGCGAGGGATGAGGGGCAGAGGTGGGTGCTGCGAGGGATGAGGGGCAGAGGTGGGTGCTGTGAGGGATGAGGGGCAGAGGTGGGTGCTGCGAGGGATGAGGGGCAGATGTGGGTGCTGCGAGGGATGAGGGGCAGATGTGGGTGCTGCGAGGGATGAGGGGCAGAGGTGGGTGCTGCGAGGGATGAGGGGCAGATGTGGGTGCTGCGAGGGATGAGGGGCAGATGTGGGTGCTGCGAGGGATGAGGGGCAGATGTGGGTGCTGTGAGGGATGAGGGGCAGAGGTGGGTGCTGCAAGGGATGAGGGGCAGATGTGGTTGCGTGCTGCAATGTTGCAAGCTTGCCTTGCTGTGGCCTAAGGAATTGTGTCCCCCCCATGTGTTCCTCCCCCCCATGTGTTCCTCCCCCCCATGTTTCCCCCCCATGTGTTCCTCCCCCCCATGTTCCCCCCCAGGGCTGCACCCGTGCATGCGCAGCTTCAACGCAGCAGCGCATGCGTGCATGAGGGCGAGGCGGGTGGAGCGAGCCGAGCGCCTGCTGGGGGAGGCGCAGCGCCGCGGCCTGCCTCCCACCGCTGCCACCTTCGCCCTCCTCATTGTGAGCCCACCATTCAACGGGCGAAGGCTCGAGACATGTCCGCCTTCAGTAAAGTCCTTCTCTTGCCAGCATAGCCAGTTCTCAAGTCCTTCCCTTGCCCGCATAGCCAGTTCTCAAGTCCTTCCCTTGCCCGCATAGCCAGTTCTCAAGTCCTTCCCTTGCCCACACAGCCAGTTCTCAAGTCCTTCCCTTGCCCGCATAGCCAGTTCTCAAGTCCTTCCCTTGCCCGCATAGCCAGTTCTCAAGTCCTTCCCTTGCCCGCATAGCCAGTTCTCAAGTCCTTCCCTTGCCCGCATAGCCAGTTCTCAAGTCCTTCCCTTGCCCGCATAGCCAGTTCTCAAGTCCTTCCCTTGCCCACATAGCCAGATCTTAAGTCCTTCCCTTGCCCACATAGCCAGTTCTCAAGTCCTTCCCTTGCCCGCATAGCCAGTTCTCAAGTCCTTCCTTCCCTTGTGACCTTCCCTCCCTGTCCCTGCCATGTGTGCAGCAAGCAGCTGGGCACATGCGGCGGGCGGGCATGGTGGAGGCAGCGCTGCACCGCATGGCGCTCGCCGGCTGCCCACATGATGCCGTGGTCAGCCCCCCGCCCTCCCCCCCCCCAGCCACCCCTTCTCACTCGCTTCGCATGCGCTCCTTGCATGCAACATTCCATGCATGCATGCGATTGAGCCAGTGTTGGCTCTTGCGCCGGCACCACCGTGTCAGCGTTGTTGAACCACCGTGTCAGCGTTTTTGAACCACGTCCACCCGGCAGCCCGGCACCACGCCACGCGCAGCCTCACCTCACATGTCCCCCTCTTCCTTCCTTCTGCTCCCCTCTAACCCAACCCCACGCCATCAGACGTACCGCAGTGCGGTGTACGCGTGGGTGCGGTGTGGCGAGGGCGGGCGGGCACTGGAGGTGCTGCAGGAGATGGTGGCGGCGGGCCACCCGCCTGCCATGACCGTTCCGGACGTGCTGATCAAGGTGTGCCCGCCGTGATAACATTTCATGCTTGAGGAAGAGCGGCTCATTTTATGGGTACAATACAACCCAAGTTGAGGACGAACGATTGTTTTTTACCCATCACTTTTGCCCACATGGAGCTAGAAGCCTGGGGTGAGGGAAAAAGACAACCCTTCAATCCCTCAGCCTGGCATGGCACCAAACCGCAGATTGAACCAAATCAGTTCGATCGACTCGAACTTATCCGTGGTTCGATCATTCGCTCCTCCCTATCCTACACATTCTGCAATGGAATAAAGAATCAGCCAACAGTCTTACTCTTTCTCGTTACATGTTTTGCTTCTGTTGTCCGATTGTATCTTAATTTCACTGAGAGCAGCCACTCGTTTCTCGATGACTTACCCTCATGAGTGCCAACCTGCCCCCTGCGGCCCCGTGTCCCTCCAGAGTGTGGACAGCGCGTTGCTGCTCGAGTGCACGCGGGCAGCACCTGACGGCAACTTGAAGAATTTCCTGCGAGAGATGAGAAGCGCCGGTGAGAGGGGCTTGTAAGATGTGGGCTTGAGGAGAAGGTAAAGCATTGGTTCCTCCATGAGAACAACAATGTTTGTAAAGGGCGACAGTTCCCGCAGAGGTTTTAAAAGTGCAGGAAACCCTCAACCCTAGGTTTTAAACTAGTCATGAGCAAACCCCAAACACGAACGTGTTCGGGTCGAACATGTCTCAAACATGTTTTCAGGGTTCAGGTGAGGGTGAGGGTTTACGGCTTAGGGTTTTGGGTTCAATGTTTAATGTGGGTGAAACTGATCATGTCATCCCGCGTAGCCCTGGTTGTGTGGGTGTCGAGTGGAACGCCTTGGTGTTGGACTAGCATGTTGCCCAACAGTCGAGCACCTCGCTGTTTGATGCGGCTAGGCTGTTTTGGTCAAACGAACCGAACAGGTTGGGACAAATATCACCCTCCCCACTCTCCCCTCCTCCCCCCCCCTCCCCCCCCCCCCCCCCCCCCCCTCTGTTCAGTTCGATTCAAGTATAGTTGGAAAGGGGTCGACTTGAGGATGCAGTGTGCCCCAACGCCCTCGTGCTTGCTGGCTTCAAACGTGCCCATCATGCCCTAGCTTTGTTTGAGGCTTGTAGCCAAACTGTTGCTGCTCTCCACATTCGTATTCCAACTTTTCTCTCCCCTCTTTGCTTCCATGCCTCATAAGCCACCATTCCAGCAGGCTTCTAAGCATACCGTGTCGTCGCCTCGCAACGAGCCAGCACTGTGTGGTGTGGAATGCTCATCATCGTGCCTTTCTTTCCATCGCGCCACCCTTCTGATGCACATGCTTCTAGTTCATCCCATATCCTCCCTTTTGAACCCATCGCCACCACTCTCATCGTGTGTCTATGTGCACCCCACAGGGCTCACCCCCACCGCGTCCACCTCAGCACACCTCGTACAGCTCCTCGCCTCCTCGCACTCACCCGCCCAA